TAGTAGAGTCAGTTGATTATTTGCTGAAATAATGACCTATACGGCTATGTTTTAATCATATTAAAGAAGATTATAAGCAAAATAATATATTCTCTAAAAATCTTAAAAATCTTATAAACTTGAATATTATTTCTAGATTCACAACATATAAATACGAATAATAATATATCGTACTCGTTACACGTATTACAAAATTCTACAAAAAAAAAATCGACTAATTTTACATGGGAAATAATATTTTAAATATAATATAGAATTATTGATACGAGAACCGAGAATATGCATACTGCGTAATATATGTTACGTACCATTATACTGACCCTTCTGTTTGCATTTACTAATAAAATGCAGAAGATCCACAAATATGGGAAACTCAGAAATCTATTCATTTGTTGGGGAAAAAGTCTGTACAAAATGAAATCGTTCACGTTTTAAAAATGTACCCCAAATAATTCGATGACAAGTTTAAAAATTTATGGACTTTTCGCTGTTTTACATAAAAAGGCTCAATTGTTTGACCTCTGACGTGTCCGGTCGATTAATGGGTTTTGGACAATAGGACTTCCGAATTTTTATTTCTTTTGCCGGACGGGTCACACGGCTGCTGGACTATGTACATTTTAGGGGTCAATGTCGTACCACTGTTTTATACAGCTGCCCTTTGACACCCTTTAACCCCCTTTTGACCATCTAAATTGACCCCCGTTGGCGTAATAATAATAGCAATTTACAAATAAAAATACCAACTGTTTTTTTTCTTTTCAAAAAAAAAAAAAAAGAGGGAAAATCTGAACAAACTAGCGGCATAAATTTTGAAAAAAAAGAAAATTACCGTGACTACAACAGCAACCAGGAGGTTTATCTCCTGAGAAAAATAATCCATTTAAGTTATTATATTATTATATTTTTTTTTTTAATTCTATTGTTTACTTGATGATAATTATACAATAACTATGTCGATAATTTTCGAAAAAAAAGTCACAACCTTTTCCTCGTTTAGAAAGACATATTATGTACATAGCATACGTAGGCATTACCATGAAGTCATAGGCAAAATAAGTATTCATGCTTAATTGCTTAAACTTATGATAATAATAATGTTGTTCCAACATTCAAGGCCCAGGGGGATACATTTTTTTTTACTAAATCTCTCTTACCGACAAACGCACAGATTAACTATATATAAGATAATACCATATTATTATTTTACCATATTATATTTATGTATTATTATTATTATTTTAATTGGCCCATAATCACTGCAATATATCACATATAAAATCTTTAATATTGTTTCTAAAGTTAAGATTATGAATTATTATGAATTATTATGATACTACATTAATACAAGTACCTAAGTAGTAATTATACCATAATTGTCATTAATTCACTATTGTAACTTATAAATATAATTATAATTTATAGTCCATGCATTTTTTGAAATCAAACGTTAGTTGTTAATTTAGTACCTATCAAGACATATTATGAAGTAATATAGTATATAGTTACCTAAAAATTGTATGTTATTATACAACAACATACTTATGTCGTCTTATGATCGTCTTTTATTAACGTAATAAGACTTTCAAACTAAACTTAGAAAAATTAATTTTGTTCACGTTTACGAATCACGTTCTGTTTTATAAAAGTGAGTGACGTTCACGTGTCGTTCAAAAAATGTATACACGAACTCGTTCATTTCAAATACTGGACCATACGGCCATAGCAACCAATAAGTAATAACACCATCAAGACGTGTACCTAATCAAATTATAATTATATATTACTTACGCATTTAAAATAGAACGACTAACGAATGATATTTTACTAAAGAGTCTTACGAATTTAGTTAGACCTCCCGGCAGTCCCAGTTAAAAGAGTAAAGACACGAAAAAATAAAATAATAAAAAAGCTCTATGGCATAGACTGTGATACTATAGTGATAAGTTATTATATTAAATTTGAAAGCAATGATAATTAATAGGTTTTAATACATTTATTTTGAGCCGAACTTAGAATCTTGATTTTTAATTTCAATTAGCGTTACATGAACCTTTTTCAATACTTTTCCAGTTCTTGGGTTCTCCTATCCAAATAAAAATTTTCACAAAAAAAAAAATGTAAAACAATTCTGTTAATGAGTTATGAATAAATTACCTATTATTAGAAACAAGGAATTATATCACACTGGGTTAAAATCAACGCAAGTGAAGTGAACTGAAGTGCATTAAACATAGTAACTGCGCACAGCCAATGTGGCCAATATAATAGTCTGTAATTTTTTCTTTTATATTTTATAATTTATTAATAAGTTTATATTCGGTTATATATTTTGAACTTTCGATACTAAACTTTTAAAGTACTTCAGGTGAAGTATCCTATACGACCATTAAAGTAATAAAATTCGATATATAGAATAAATAAAAGGAAATAATACGTTCTCTGGTAGAAACGTAAGGCAAAAAAATAAAGTATTGAGGGGAAAGAGGTAGAAATAAATTTAACAATGGTGTTGTGCGAAGGACAGGGGCTCTATACAGGATTCGATCGATCGGTAACGCGCGTTATGTGCACATAGAAGGAGATGAGGAGGTGGTGGAAAAAACCCTATTGTACGTGACAGTGTGTCTTTTATGAAAGGATCGATCGAAAATAACTATTTTTCAGAAGGGTTATGGTTTGTAACAAAATGGCCGGTCCAAATATAACGAACACCATGGTGTATCCATCCGGTCCTTGTTTTCCTCGGTTTTAAAAAGGGTTTGCATTTTTACACGAACAGCTGCATATAAATATAAAGGGCAAATATGCTGAAAATACCCTTTTTTCAGTATATTCATGTTTTTGATGAATTCGCCGATTTTTTCCACGCTTCTCGAATATTTATTTTTTACCTTTTATTCTCAATACCATACGGTTGCTCCCTGTGGTTTGCGGTTCTTATTGAAAAATATGTAAAATGTATATAAACGATTCAGCTATTCTCCTCTTCGGTGAATAAAATATGTTAAACGAGAAATATTTTTAAGACCCTTGGTAAGCCATCCTAACAATTATTTCAAAAGAAACTATTTTTCATATTCAAACTACTATTTCATATTTCAATGATATTTCTTGTACTCGAGTTTTCCAAATAAATAAATAATTTTAAATCTGGAATGAATAATTACTGAATTATGAAATTATGTGAATTTGATACTCATATTATTGACTTTAGTCAAAATTTAAACAATTTATTATAAGGTAATATTATAAAAAAAATTATGATATAGGTAGATATCAGGTGGGAGAGTCGATTGATTAGTAATTTCATGTCAGTAGTAAGTAATTGTTTTACATAACATAATATTATAGGTTTTGAAAAATACATAATATTTGGTAAAACTTATCTGAAGTATTAATAATTATAATATAATATTAAAACATTTTTTTTTCTTTTTGGTGAACTAATTTGATATGACGTATTACTGCATTTAATTTATTTCATGAACAAAAATAATTATTATGTATTAATGGTGATTTAAAATCAATCAATTAAAAAAGAGTGAACATTTTGTTTTACTATACTATTAGATTATTTATAGCTCACAAAGAAATATCAATAGAATTAGGAAAAAATTTAAAAACAATATAAAATTTTTTAAAATGTGTAGTATGTACACACTATTGTCTTATATAAATTTATTTTTTATATAATATATAAATTCATTCATTAAATATATTCATAATATGATGGTGTTCTAATGTAAATTTTAAAATGTTCGTTTATCCAAATTCCAAATTTAATCATTGTTAAATTAAAATACTGTAGAACTGTTTATTGCCTTTTAGTATTTAATGAGAAGTGACATACCAATAATAGTAATTATATTCTTTAATTTTTTTAATTTATTAATTGTTATCATAAAATATATTATAAAATTATCTTGTAAAAAAAAAATCATGAGGTATCTGTGAATTGCATAATATTTAAAAATTATAAATATAATCCATTCATAAATTATACACTGTTACAAAATAATAAGACAAATAGAGTAGATAGATTTAAAAATATTTCATTAGGTCAACGAATAAGCCCGCTGGCCGAGGTACACGAAGATGTCAGCGCACTATTTGTTTTCTCCCTCTGGCCCACGCGCAACACAGTCAAAACGCATTAACGCAAAATCATTTTTTCTATGCTTTTAAGTCTTTAAGTCTTTCTATGCTTTTACAAAAAAAGATAGAAAATAATATTTTAGAGTGACATATCGATTTTATATTTTATTGTTATTTGACTTTGTATTCGACTCTCAAAATAAACAAAAACATTTTGTACATTTAAATGATATTTACATTGTTTGAAACAATATTTGGACAAATCGATATAGCATTTTCTCAAAATTATTATTCTCTATCTTTTTTGTAATGGATGATTTTGCTCTAAGATTACTTAAAAAATATAGAAAAAACGATTCTGCGCAAATGTGTATTAACTATGTTGCCCATGGGTCAGTGAGAGAAAACAAATAGTGCGCTGATATCCTCTAAAGATTTTGTATACACGATGAAGCCTCGACACTATTATTGTAACATACCTCTAACATAGATATCAGTATTTCACAAGATCCTATTAGACTGAAATCAATAAAATTTAAAAACTTCTGTTTTAGTTTATAGGTATAGGCGTATAGGTAGGTATATGTTGTAGGAATAGGAATGTAAATTAATAAGATTATAAAAAGAAAATGAAATAATTACATGCTCAGTGTAATTTTTCATGTGCATACATTATGATTTATGTTAAAACGACTCTGAAATTGTTTTCCCTTTTATAATATAATAGCTTATACATAGCTATAAAAACAAAATCCATTCTGATTAAAGTGATTGAAAACTAGCTAATATATTATATAAAATGTGAACTATAAATTATTGATGTACTTTTTCCTAGACACAAAAGTTCTATCACGTTGGAGATGTGTAAAATGCAAACGATTATAGATTAATTATGTACGTAATTATTTTGGCCAACAATCATTTTCTCTGGAAAATCTATACCCGGACACAGTCCAACAACATTTCATCGGAAGCTGCGACGGCGGCACCGGCGTTTCCTTTTCAGTACCGATAATTGTTTCCAACGGATGACTCAGTTTCTCATAAACGTGACCCCAAACGGCCGGGTCGCTGCAACTACCCTTATTTTCATTCCAAGGCTGAGGGTGAATTTGGTAGCAATCGGAAGGGGGTACGTAAACGGGGTGTTTGCGTGGACATTCGGGAAAAAATAACGAATGACCATTGGGCATCGGGACGGCGCGCGGGCGGCGGGGGAGACGGTTTGAAATATTGCGGTCCCTTTGCACTGCCACCGGACCGCACCGCCACAGTCCCCCGGTTGGATATCGTTTTCTTCTCGTTTTTCACTCGGTGCCCCCGAAAAATCATAAATTCCACTCTTCTTTTTTCCTCCGCTCGCACACTTTCCCTCTACATCTCTCTTTCTCTCTCCCACTGTATTTTTTCCATCAATACTTAATGGCTCGGACAACAAATGTTATTCTGCCGTCGTTGCCCCACGCACAAACACATTAAATCCACCGATCGGCCGCCGCTGTATATATCGCGAGAGCGAACCCGCGCCCTCCTCGTGTGCAGCGATATGCAATTATCATAATTCCGTCCGTCTCGTTTTTTCATTGTATATATACATAGATATCCACACACACACACACACACACTCAGACTATATAACTGCCATTATAGGATACCACTTTCCGGATTTTTCACCAGCGTTGTATTGCGCGCGAAGTTAATAATAAGAGAGAATGTCTCACCCGCATCTGTAGTCTCTGTCTTACAATAAAGTGAGAGTGGCATAGCAAATTGACGTTCAGCAGTCATGTCGTGTTTAGCTTCGTTAGTTTTAATATCAGAGCGAATTTACCTATTATTAAACTGTTAAATGTATCAAAAAACCAGGAGGTTTGTTGGAAATGTAATTTCAAAATTTTAATTTTGAAACTAGTTGGATATCACGAAAATATTACGATTTTATAATGCTCAAAACTTGTTTAAAAATTAAAATATTGGAAAAACACTGCTGACAAATCATAGAATAATATGTTGTCATACCTTTAAATCTGTCAATAGGTAAAATCACTCTTATATTAAAACTAACTAAGCTTAATTTAAATTGTTCCGGTTAACATCAATAAAATACAGTCCTGTTCAGTGTTCTTGTCCCTGTTTGAACTTTACAATAATGGTTGCATCGGCGTACACACATAATTGACTGAAACAGTATCAGTAAATTCACCATTGATTACGTATTTATAATACTCGTATTATATAATATTAATCCATGATATTACTCTCATTAAATTTAAAGTAAACTACTAAAATTTTATAAATGTAAAAAAAAATAATAATAAATACTAACATTTTGCCTTTTGTACTACATAATATATAACTGAATAAATTGAATAGTTTGTTATTATACTTTAAAAAATATATACTTATTTTTCTATAACTAATACTACTTAATCATATTATTAACTTCAATAAAATAATATAAATTAAAAGTAAACATGTGCAGAAGTATTAATATAAATATTAGGTATAACAACATTAAATATAATATAGGTACATTAATTATTAATTGTATTAATTAAATAACTGAATCAATAAAAAATATCTTTTAAATAACTAGTAGTAGTGAATGTAAATACTTATTATATTTTAATGTGTTATATTTTTTATCGGTTAGTATATTTTAATTATTTATATAAATAGTATTTTTCAGGAATTTTTTAAAAAAATTGTTCATGTTTTCCTTCTTTTTCTCTCTGGTCTCTGCAGAGGTGTTTTTTCAGACATAACTATGACGTCTATCGGTAGGTACCTACTTATATATTTTTAACATATTAAGAAACTCGTTTAAACATTTATGTATAATATCTGAATATCTGACTCAATTAATTTTGATCAAATGGCCAATATAAATAATATCATATCAATGTTAAAAATATTCGAAACATTTAAATTCTGACTAAATAACCTGTGTCAAAACCTGTGCCATGAATCATGAGTTCCGAAACAAAATATTACAATATCTGGTGTAAATAAATCACGTATAGGTACTTAAATATGTTAGATATTTAAACATCATTCAAACTCTATTTAAACGCTTGCAGCTTTGGTTGGTGTTTAAATTTGGCTATGTTATCTAATAATCTAGCCAAGTCCAACATACACTAATGACTAATGGATACTAAAACAACATTTTCCATTACTAAAATATTAATAATACTCTTTGACTTTTGTTATATGATATAAGATAATATCCATTAAAAGTTTAGTCTCCCTTGATCTACCTATAAACTATAGTATTTCATACTACTAACAGGTACCCACATTTTAGTCATTTTACATTGTAATTTGTAATACACTAATACCGATAGGTACGTAACATGTTTTTAGGCTAAAAATGTTAGCACAATAGTAGATTTGGACAAATACATTATACTTATACAGTTATATTAAGTACAACTGTAAAAGTATTAGTTTAATGAACTTTATAATTTATTATAAATTATAAATATATTCTTATTCAGTTTTAATCATTAATTTCATTATTTAAAAGAAAATAAACCTAAACATTTTACCGTCCACTCATGGAGCGACGTATTTTCATTTTTTAATTATTATTATTTTTTTTATGGAGATGAGTTTAAATGTATACAGGGAATAGTTTTATCTGCTCAAACAAAAAGCTAAACTATAAATAAATTATTAACGTGATTATAAATACACGGTAAGTTTCTCTTTGAGATAATATGTATAGATATAATATTTTATGTATTTATATAGGGTTATTATACTACTGTAGTACTTTATTTATTATATTTATTGGTTAAACAACCAAAAACTTATTTCCCACTTCATTCAGTTATTCAGACTTAGCTGATGTTACTTGTACCATGGACATATAGGTAAAAATTACGTTTTGTTGTAATTTAAAGCGTAACATCCCAAATAAAACGTACCTATTCATATTTTCATATATTTTGAAGTTAATTAATATTCTTCAATATTATTTTATACCAATATATTATTATTTAATATTACTTATTAATTATTTGCTTTTTACATATATGATACTATTGGTTTAATATGCATCCGGCATGCATAATATATTTCATTATTTTAATAAAGCCTATGAGGCTGTAAAACACATCGATCGCCAATCTCAATCCGCTATAGGATTGTCCTAATATATAAGAGTCCGATTTGCCGACGAAGCTTACTGCTGCAAGGTTTTTCAGTTAGTCGAAAACTAGTAAGTAAATATTTCGTTAAATATTACACATTATTATATTTATTTATTCACGTACATAATGACAATATTCAGTTGGTACCTATGACTTACCTCTAACAATATTATGTTATGTGGAAATGGAAAATAATATGTTCAATCTGTTGTAACTTGTAAATCGTGATGGGGAACCATCGCGATAGTAATAAATAAGATAAGATATAGCCATATAGGTAATGATTTTTGATATCGCCATATCAGTTGTATAAATAACAGCATAATTTATGCTTAGATATTAACAATATTTATCTCGGTTTACAACTTTCAAAATAATTAATTAAATTGTCCATAATTTATAATACATCCAAACACAAGTGTTAAACCGAAATTCAGAAAATTTACTTAATACACAGTGGTGACAGTGCATATAGTTACAACTTAAATCTAACATTTATTTGTCTGGGCGCCTGTCGTCTGTGCGATCTCATCACTTAATGACTTTTCAAGCCATTGAGGTCTGGTAAAAACACAACTTTTTTTAAATCCTAGACGAATATTCCATCAGAATAATACCAAATTGGATTTTTCAAATTAAGATAAGCTACAATATAGAACTATAGAAGTAATAAAAATCATTCAGTCTAAAGGGTTCAAACATTAGTTTTATCAATATTATAATTCATCATACCTACTTAATTGTGACTTTTAAAAAATAATTTTATACTATTTACACGATTAGAACTGTTTATTATGTATATTATTTATCAACAGCATATATTATAATTCATTAATTTATGAATGAATTTTAATCATTGGACATTTTTTAAATAAAACCTATTGATTTTTAGCTAATCTTGAATAAAGAAAAATTATACTCTGAACATTCTACTTTTTGGAAACAGCGATTACACTGTAAATAATATTAATAATGATCATATTTATTAATGATTAACAAATTATACTGCTGTACACAATGGTTAATAACTGAATAACTGATAATAAATAATACTAATTTTATTTTGAATTTCATGATAATATTATATCAATTTAATTTATATAAGAATAAAACACTGTAAAGTACGATTTTTACAGAATGAAAAATATAGTAGGTATACGGTGGCACCTATGAAGAGATGATTTTTATAAATGTATTTTCACGTAAATAATAAAGTTCTGTAGAACGTACTTATTAGCTAGTATAGTTATAGGGAGTATGGACACTATATGCTGAAGTTCTTTTGTATATTAAAAATTAAAATAATAGTCCGTATATGATTTTTAGTATGAAACGGTGAAACCGTTTTTATTTTTGTATGTTCGGCTTGAGTAATATGAATTTAAAGTGTGCAGCTCATATATAGATACTAAAAAGTGTTTATGATTTTTCTACTCCCACAAGTTTGATTAATATTTATAAAAACTAGTGAAGTGTAGATTTTTTATAAAAAATAAGGGCAGTCACTTACTTGCGGTGAAGGAGTAAGGGGATGAGTTATAGGAATAGGATTAATCATGAGCCTAAAAAACAAAATTTAAATTTAAATTTTATATCTTGATAATAATATAATAATAGCTAATGCGATTAACATACATTTTTATTTTTTATCTCAAATACTGTTGTATAAAACTAAAAATCTGGGGGATTATGTTGGGCCACCTGTTGAAATGTAGTTATATTACATTGTGTTTAGATTTATAATTTGAAGTACTTTTTTAATGGTTTGCACATGATAAAAACTTATAATGGTGCATAGTGTTATTATATATACATAAGAAGGTGACTATATTTTATTGTTGGTATAGCCGGTACATAAAAATTGTTCCGGTGTAAAAACTGTTATTAAAATGTATTATAAGTTATAATATAATAATATTACCGACATAATATCGCTACATTATTATACTCCTCGCGGACAGTTCGCGTGTCCGCCACCGCCGTGAAAATCGTAGGCGGACATCCAGCCCGATCCCCACAATGTTTTCGTATACATA